CAATTAATCTCGTTTATTTCAAAATATCTTTTATTGATGTTACATAAGTGTCAATCACCATGTTGAACTGAAGCGTTTGTACTAAGTTTTTCTATTACATTTTTGGAAATAAACCTGCATCTTGACCTGAATAGTCCTCAATTTATTCCCCTTTTCTCTGTAAATTTTGACATCTTCTTAGATAATATATTGTTGTGACTTTGAAACCTCTCAGTGGCTCAACGGTAAGTCTGAAGGCTTATAACGCTAAAATCCGGGTTTCTGTACCCGTGGTAGGCACAGCAAAGATGACCCATTGTGCAGCTTTACGCTTAACAACAAATAAACAAACGAAAATCGTAACGTTGTTCTTTCCTTGGCGGGTTCTTTTAAATTATCTGGTGAGAATATTTCAAAGTCCAATCCACTCAACGATAAAAATTAATTAATTTGTCCTTTAACATTTTTACAAGCCGAAATGTTGTGGTATCTTGTAAGCCACTTTTACAAATGACATTCCAACGTAAATACTACGCTAACTACACTATGCTTACGTAAAAATAAAAAAAAAGTTTATTTGTAAAACTTCACAGCTGATGATCAAGTAACTGAAAAAAAAAACAAAACAGTGACAGATTCACCAATAGCTGAAACAAGACACTCTAACTGATTTACTCTATTGACTAGAAATAATTCTACTCTATGATTCACTGCCCCTCGTATTTATAACTTACTCCTCAAATTTACTAGAAAATCTGACGTCAAAATTCTTAGAACTTTCTAAGCTTACATTATCAAGTTGTTTTTTTAAAGGAAAGCCAGGTTGGACTATCTTCTGTGTCTACCATGGGAATCGAACCCCAGATTTTTGCATTGTAAGTCCATAAACTTACCGCTCTTCCACCCGTGAGGACTACATTATAAAAACATTCGATATTCGACCTTATCGTCATATGTTTGCTAGTTAACATCTAAATTACCACGTTAAAAATATAGTTTAAAACAATATAGTTTCTTGAAAGTTGTTTCATATTTTTTCGTAATCTCTGTAATTTTTAGTTGTTTTGCTATTACTAATATTTTTGGCTTAAATCTAACATGTCGGCTATTACTTAGCTGTAAATATAACAAAAGTCCCACGATGAAGTTTTGTACGTATGTATATAAGATGAAAAAATAATAAAGTCGATGAATTTTAACTCTGTTGTGAACTAAACCTTTTAAACGGGAAGTGACATAATTTCTAGAATAACATCTAATAACTTCTCCAAGACGATCCTTTTATCTTATTCATTGAACACACGATATTTTAGTTGGGCTCTGTGTGTACGTGTGTGTTCCATACAGACTTTGTACTACAGTGTAGAAAGTGTTGTATTTTATGTGAAGTCACAAAACTAAGAGAAAAACCGGAAATGGCGTTTAGCTAGTGTTTTGCTTTAAGTTTTAGTGGTGTATAATCTAACTAAGTTTTAACTCGCATAGCAACAGTTATTAGTCCGCGACTTTGTTATATAGAACTTAACACTAACACATGGACAAAAAAAAATCTGAATTCATAATTCTAATTTCCCTTTTAACTTGGCTATTCTAGCTTTAAAACTGTTTATGGTATTGGTCGCAGCATACGCTGTTAACAATGGGACTATGATAAATTACACTGAAAAGCCTTTAAACATTTTAAGGTTAAATTTTTGTTTCGTTTTGATAAAATGACAAAATGTACTTCAATGCTATCTACATTTCACTGCTTTTCTTTTTATATCAAAATGAAGCATTGTATATAACAATTTTTTAACATTTCTTCATCTTTATAACACCAAAAGCCAGTTCGTTTTTTTAAGTCAAATTGGCTGCCACTAGTTTGAGGCTAGAACAATTGGCAGTTTTGGAGATAGTATATCAGGTTGATTACTGTTCTTTTACAGTTATTTGGCAGTTTTGGGGATAGTATATCAGGTTGATTACTGTTCTTTTACAGTTATTTGGCAATTTTGAGATAGTATATAAGAATGGTTACTGTTTTTGTAGAATTGTTTGCAGCTTAGAATATAGCATATCAGGATGGTTATTGTTTGGCAATTTTGGAGATAGTGTATAGGTCGGTTACTGTTTTTGTACAATTGTTTGGCAGTTTCGAATATAGCACTTCAAGATGGTTACTGTTTTTGTTCAATTGTTTAACAGTTTTGGAAATAGTATATAAAAATGGTTATTGTTTTTGTACAATTGTTTGGCAGTTTCGAATATAGCATATCAAGATGGTTACTGTTTTTGTTCAATTGTTTAACAGTTTTGCAAATAGTATATAAAAATGGTTATTGTTTTTGTACAATTGTTTGGCAGTTTCGAATATAGTATATCAAGATGGTTACTGGTTTTGTTCAATTGTTTCGCAATTTTGAATATAGTATATCAAGATGGTTACTGTTTTTATACAACTGTTTGTCACTGTTACCTACAGCTGGTGGGCAGTATTTTTGAAAAGAAGTACAGCTTATCAGCATTAATTGAACACAGAGACAAGTAGTACCTGTACAAAGTCGCTGAAAGCCAACTAAGACTACTTACACAACATTACTTTAAGGAAACGTCACTTTACTGCTCCAATAACTCCATATGGGCTTCAAGACAGTAATTGGAGTGATTATCTGTGAGGTAAAAACAATTTTTGTGAGTCTTTTTTCATCTTTTGCACTTGACCACTTACTATTTATTAAAATTCTCAGAATTAACAACAACACTATTGAGTGTCTTTACTCTCCACGGATGATCCAAGATTCGATGTTTCTACCAAGATTGGTTTGTGTCTGGAGAGCCACAAGTAAATATATTATTGTTGAATACGACACATTCGACGGTGGTTCAGTTATTTTATTAGGTGGTATCAATTTGATTTGATGAATTAAACTGAACTTTCAACAAAGGATTTACTGCTCAACGACTTATAGATGTAGCATTTGACAAGTTGTATGACCAATCGGAGTCAGAGTCAGCCCAGATTTTGTCTTGATACAAAGCTGTGTCATACTGCTAGGATTGTGAATATCTACTCTGAATAATAAAGTGCAGTCAGCCCAGACTTTGTTTTGATGCAGAGCAGTATCCTGTATCATACTGCTAGGATTTCGATTGACTATTCTGAGCAACAGGATACAATTGGTCCAGAGTTTGTCTTATGCAGAGCAATAGCCTGTGTCATGCTGATAGGAATGCAATGTGCTACTCTCAACAACAGTGTTTAGTCGGCCCATACTTTGTCTTCCATACTGGTAGGATTGTGAAGGACTACTCTGAGCAACAAAGTGCAGTCAGCCCAGACCTTGTCTTAGTCTTGTTGCAAAACTGTATCCTGCACCATACTGCTAGGATTGTGATGGACTACTCTGAGCAACAGACTAAAGACACTATGAACTAACAAGCAACTTTTCTGATCTAAATTCCGTAGAACACCTCTGAGATCTCCTTGCTCATCACGCAACGTTAGAAACCTTTGTGCGCACTGACTGGGGAATGTAACACTATTCCTCATAACGGCATCCACTAACTGCTGACCAAATGTATGCTCCGTAGTTCATAGACTGTGTGATAGGTACATTGGTCTCTCTTAAGTGTAATCGGGTAGGACCTGTAGAACAAAGAAGTTCGATCAGGAAATTTATTACGGAGTAAATCTGAATTCTCTTAGTGTGAATTGTAAAGAAGAAAAAGGCTGGACACTGTGTAAAACGCAGTTAAACAATCTTTATTCAACACTTAAACTCTATCACAATTAGCAAGTGCACAAGAATAAAAAGCATTTACTGGAGCTTCTAGAGATACCTGTGAAGATGAAGAAAGTTGGCAAAATCTCCGGAGAATGATCTGTTCTAGACTGAGAAAACATAGTATTATATATACGAAACAATATTGCTGTTCTTCTCAAGACGTGTGCGCTACGTAGGTCACCTTTGATCAAAAATATAATAGTGGATCGTATCTTCAAGGTATCGCCTGGCTCACCAATCAAAATTATTGTTATCTTCTTTCACACCTATTATGTTTAACTTTGAAGAAATATTTCCCATGAGAAGGCCCATGCGTGATACCTTAAGAGAATGACCCAGAACAGAATGTGTCTAGGGTGAAAGAAGCTACATACATTTATTTGCATGAAAATTGTGAAAATTTTTCATGTGAGCTTTTAGAGTTCACTTTACTCTATTGAATATAGGAGATGAAAAATACCTAGGATTCTTGTATATTATAGCTGTACTAATAATCAGTATACTAATGTATACTGATTATTGAAAGTCTATCTCCCCCCCCCTTTTTTTTTGCCAAATGGACTTTTCCAGACAAGTTGATTGAGTAAGATTCTAGCTTTGAAGTTTGAGTGTGCTTATGTTCCATGGGATATGTTGTTGATACAAAACTGATTTATTAACGTTGCTCCTATATTATACGTTTATTTCAGTTGTTTATCTCTAGTAGAGAACAAAGACAATTTAACTATAAGATTATGATCCTTTAGCTTTTGGGAAGAACCTAATTTGTACTTCCTCACCTCGGGTCAGATCATCGGGATAGATTAAAAAAGAACTTCCTAACCACTGAAAAGCCAACTTTTACGATACTGACTGAAAACTTCTCAGTTTAAAACGCGCTATTTCGCAACTTAACTGCATGGATGACTACCACCACCTCATATACGTCGGAGAAAATCTTTGTGTTTACCTTGACCCGCTTAACTTTTTTCAGTCGTTGTTGTGTCGTGTGTACTTTTAAAATGTAACGAATTCCGTGTCTTCATTTATTCAGGCTCTGTTCTTTAATATCTAAACGTAAGCTGGGCTAACTCTGGATTTGTACTAATTCTCGTTCGAACTTTGTTGACTTGACCGGAAAATTACTGTTGGTCTTTCGTTTAATTGATTAGACAATTACATGTTCGACAGTTTTAAAACGTAATCGTGCTACAAAGCAATATAGCATTTCGGAAATAGCATGTGAATCGAATTAAGGAAAAATATGTTTTAATTCCAGAAGAATTATGTCTCAAATTTTATCAAAGGACATTTCAACTCTGTAAACGAGTTCAGAGATGAAACATAATATTTAAAGTTGTAATCAAGCCCTATGTTATTTGATTTAGAAATCTTATATGTGTATATATTTGCATATGTGTGTGTGTGTGTGTGCGTATATAATATATTAAAACCTTTGTCACAGGATAGAATGTTAGGGAATTTCCAGACGAAAACGGTAATAAAAGTAGGTTATAAAATCTACTGTTATTTTTTGATTCGTGATTAGTTGAATATTCAACAAAATTCGATATATATATATATTTTTTTTTTAATTTATAAACGACGACTTTTGGATGATTCTTATTCTGGGAGATAGTACTGATAATGTTATATTTTGTCGCATCTAATTTTTGGTGAGAAAAATAAACTTGGTTGATATAACTGTTCCGTTCACAGTGAGAAATCTATATTTTTTAAATTTCAATTTATTTAACTCAAGTTGAAACTAGATAAGTTTTGCGGTACATGCATCTCGAGATAGACGACATAGGGGTCGTGTCAGTTTTATTAGGTTTGTTTGTTTTGAATTTCGCGCAAAGCTACACGAGGGCTATCTGCGCTAGCCGTTCCTAACTTAGCAGTGTAAGACTAGAGGGAAGGCAGCTAGTCATCACCACCCACCGCCAACTCTTGGGCTACTCTTTTACCAACGAATAGTGGGATTGACCGTCACATTATAACGCCCCCACGGCTGAAAGGGCGAGCATGTTTGGTGGGACTGGGATTCGAACCCGCGACCCGGAAATTGCGAGTCGAGCTCCCTAACCACCTGGCCATGCCGGGCCTACCTTTCATTAGGTAAAGTCTTCAAGAAGATTACTTGCGTCATTAAATAATTAACAAACTATGTTGGTGAAACTTTATGAGATGTTTTTATGTTTGTATTTAGAATGTCAGTATTTCTCAGAACGTTGTGAGTAGTAAGTGAATTATATATTGTTGTGATTTTGAAATAATGTATAGAATTGTCTATTTTTGTAACTTAACCCCCCCCCCTCACATGCACTTCACCAAATTGTGAATTTCTGCAAGAAATAAACATGGGGCCCAGGATATAATTTATTTCTCTCTGAGTTAGTAGCTCTGGACAAAGATTGGGCCATTCGTAGTGGTGGTCTGTAAGTTATGCATAGTGTTGGAGTTGTCTTTTATTCACTTCAGTGAATCTATATTAAAATACCCATATAAATATACATTGTTGAGTTAAAGGCAACTCAAACATTATAAGCATAATTATCAGTCTCTTTTATATTATTAGTTTTTATTACCAAAACTGCCAACAGAGAGCTGAGCATCGTCGTGAGATACAGAAATTATATTGAAGTTTGTATTTTTTGAACGAGCTTTGCATCAACAGAACTATCGTATGAAATCTTTCCTGAATGCACTCAATCTGCGAAACTTTAAAGCTAAATAAAATATTAAGAGATAAATAAGAAGCTTATGTTTTAAAATATTGTTCCTAACCTGAAATTAGACATTTTATCAGAACTTTTTGGTGTAAAACGAGTAAATGTATATAAAAATTATAAGAAACATTTTACATAAAGACAGGCCCCTCTCAGAGATTCAGTTTGTTTGTTTTGAATTTCGCGCAAAGCTACACGAGGGCTATCTGCGCTAGCCGTCCC